GATAGATAAAGAGATAAGCTTTAATAAAAGGAAATAACATTTTAAATTTGAATAGAAATCATAATATTATCTATCTTTTAATGTGTTATTATGTTTTTGTTTATATTGTTAATGAATATATATTGTGGTATGAAATTGGATATTGATTGGATTGAAATTGCTTATAGGCTATGACCCAACCTATAGGTTAGGTCATAGCCCACTGGCCAAGCCCACTCAGTAGACCAGGCCTAGCCCCTAGGCTAGGCCCAACCCACGAGTCAGGTCTTGACTCGTAAGCTAACTCAGCCCAACCATCATGGGTGGTCACATGCGATGCACATGACCAGTCCATGGGCTAGGGCTGGGCCAGCGTTATGTGTTGCATGCCTAGTCATGTGTAATACACATGGATTGGGCTGACCCAATCCAACCCAATATTGCTGTTGAATTTGAGCCCAAATATTGATTGAATTAAATTAGACTTGATTAGTCTAGATTGATTCAGGGTGATTCCGAATTGATTGACTTATTCAAGTCAGTTTAACCTAAAATGAACCTAATCTAGTTTAAATTATACTAGTCTAGGGTGGTTCCAGACCAGTCAAATGAGGATTAGAGATCAGTTCAATTAGGTTTTAGTAAATTGAGTTCAATTGGCTCGATTGAACTAGGGTTCAAGTCAATTGAGGGCTAAGTTGTATTATTTGAAAGAGATATTTTAAATGTGTTATTTTATTCTGATATGGACATGACCAGTGTGAGATTATGTTATTTCCTTGTCGAGAGCAGGTAGGGCGATTCCTTTCGGGGATTAGCGGGCCGTCAGACGTGGCAGTTGGACGGTTCCTCCATTCGCTGTTGGGAGGAACGTGTCCTCACTTTGGCGGGTGTGGGACATCACTCCATCCGCTGTTGGGAGTGCGATATGAGTTTGTCTCCTTCCGCTATTGGGAGAACATAAACTCATCCCGTAGGATAAAGCCTCTCCATCCGTTGTTGGGGGAGTGCTCCTTTGAGTGTTTGATATACGCCAATGGGATGATTGAATTTTGATCATATATTCATTTTGAGTTAACTTTTGGGGTTCCTACTCAGCGTTGTTGAATTTTCTTTGTTTTTTGATTTTCAAAGTAACCTCCCTTTAGTACTAATTCGGATTCTAGTGGAGAGCGGACATTCCTCTACCGATAGGTAGAGCCCTTTGGATGATTCTTGAAGTTAACATCATTATGTTTATTTTTCTATTTGTGATTTGATAAATAAATGAATTGTAATAAATGTTTATGAATGATGAATAAAGTGATATTTATCTACTTGGTTTGAATGTGTGAAAAAATGAAAAAAAATTCACGATGTGACATTGTTCATCGTCAATGTTATTTTGTGTTTCATAGTTTATATGGCTATTGGAAGTTTGATTTCATGTTCAAAATGGAAGCTTAAATTTCTACTCCTGCAATTGCATTACTTTTCTAGATCTTGCTATGTAGTTGAGTTGACATATTTTACTAGGAGGATCGAATAAGCCTACTTCTCTTTTTTTATTTACTTGTAATTTGTGTCTATATTTGTTGATCCATGGCTTTCTGTTGGTGCAATTAAGCACTTTCTGGCACAACCCTTCACTTAACTTGTTTGCTATTGGGTTGTGCAGTACCGCTGAAGATGTTTGCATTATTCGAGATGGAGCCTGCAGGATGGAGCTTGTCTCAGAAGTTTGTTACTGAACTCCATTAATGTGATCCTATGAATTTTGTTTACCTATTGAACTTTTTGATTTAGTTGGAACTTAACATAGTGATCTGAATCACATTGACTTGTTATGGTTGTTGATGTCATTTCTCCAGTTGTCCCATTTCATTCTTCTCATGCTTGAACTGCCGCCATATCTGTTTAATTCTATGCATATTTTTTTTGTAGAAATGAAATACATGCATGTTTCAATGTTGTATAACCTATGGCTCTATAGTCTCTTTGTACATGATGATGTAATTTTCAGAGGTCCAGCATTATTTTGGGAGGTCCTAAGGAAAGGTGTGTTTAATGATTTGACTCATCCTTGTACCTCCTGTTCTCCCCAATCTTGGAGAGGACTTCGTATGGCATGAAACATGAGAAACTGCTTGTACCTCACAAACCACCTATGTTTTGGGATCTTTTTGGCTTTTGGGGGCTTTATTGTTCAGCTAAAAGTACTTGTGCCGGTGTGATGAACCTTTGGAGTGATATGATGTTTGTGTGCTGAAGACTGATGGGTGCTTGCGTTTGTTGTCTGTGTTTGGAGCTGAATGCAAGGTAAAGGTGGTCTGTGAGCTATCCTACTTCAGCGTCAGAATGCACTTGAGTGTTTGTTGGTTCACTCAAAGTTGCTCGGACTTTGACTCATGGATTTGAATGGTACTTCCACTTTTTTGCCTTCGGCGGTTGCATAGGAGCATGCGGGCGGATATAAGGAGATCAAAGTTAAAATGATCATTTATAAAAAAAAATATTCTGAAAAAAAATTAAAAATTGAGGTGTTCAGACTAAAAACAGTTATGCCAGTGATTGGGAGCATGTCCTTTTTAATCTTTAAATATTATTGGTACAACTCCTCGAGGTCCACAAACATGGGAGGGTCGCGGCTCTCACTTGGTCAAATCAATCATCGTTGAACTCATTCGTCATGTACTCCTACCTTGATATCAGGAGCCACCAAGGTATTATCCAAGCGGAGCGGTTTTGCCTCCCAACTCGATCGTGACCATCATCGTCGCACTCCTTTCTTCGTCGTGCGTCTCTCGTTTCGCAGTTATCTCCATTGTCGGCCCCTCCCCACCGATGCCATAGAGGAACCACGTCTCGAACGGTCGGAACAAGGTTCGACGCTACGACGCTACAGACCCCAACTAACCGGAAGGGATGTCGAGGAGGGTGGTCACATGTCGAGGGATCTTGATGCAACAGGTAAATATAATTTTATTTCTTATATGTTTTTATATTTTTTTTACTAGATTTTAAGATTACATTTATGTGTATATAACTTACTAGATTTTAAGGCTATCTTGGGCGATCATCCATCACCAATGAGAATTGATCTAAGATCTAAAACCTCTTATCTCATAGAAGACACGTTCTGTGACTTTCTTCTTGGGCTGGGCTCTGATTTAAAGTACATGTGCATCGGTGAGGGGATTCTTAAATCTATCTTTAACCATGTAAACTGGATCTCATATAATTCTTACCAAGAAGATTAGATATTCCCCCCTAATTTGCACCATCCAAAAGTAATTTATGAGATCGATTTGATTGTGTTTCACGCTATAAATAAAGCTGTGATTACACAGTAAATAAATAGGTTATATAAAATTTCTCCTCCTTTCAGTCTTCTCGTTCCCTATTCAGTAAAGTTGCGCCACAGCAGTCCACACTATTCAGGGAGAAAGGTGAAATGAGCTTCATGCATTTGTTTTATTTTGTTGGATAAACTGCTAGGAAAAACTCCACCAAACTAATTAGAGATTGCTCCTCTTTCCAAAATTTCCCCACTGTCTCGATCCAATCTCATATATCATATACACGCACAGTGAGTCTTCTGAAATGATTGGCATGCAGACATTTCAGGCCATCATGCATGAAACCAATAGCATAACTCAGGTAGACTCTTTACAGAAAGACCTTTCCTTTTTGCCACAGCTCCACATCCAAGAAAATTGTCTGTATCTTCTTGGCTTCATCATGTCCTGGGCATATATGCACTGTTTGTGTTCTTGTTTCCATCTCAACTACTATTGTCAGCGAGTCCTCAAAGAGCTGAGGGTGGCACCTTGAGCACATGTTCGCGTTTCTTACTTTCATGCCTGAGCTCTCGACCTATGTGTTGTCCACTTGGAACAACCGAACAAAGAGTGCAGGAAAGCAAGAAAATTCTTCCTCGAGAAAGTTGCATGTCTTTTAGTTTGGCTATTTGTTCTCTGGCATTAGTACTGTCATCAGGGAATTAACAAAGCTCGCATGCTTAACTTATATTGTTCTCCTTATATGCTTTCCACCAGATTCTTCTGATGCTCTTCTTGGTGTTTGTGCCTGTAAATGTACTTCCTACAAATCGTGCAACAACGAAGGTGGTCAGCTTTGCATGAAAGAGATGATTCGTTGTGCCATTTGCGTCGGTGTGGGTCTTCAGCTTTTCTGAGTTGGTGTCACTCGAGAACAAGGTAGATGCCAACGGACTTCAGCTTTTCTTCCTTCTGAATGTTTTGACTAGATATATATATATATATACAGTACTCACCACCATCACAAGCATCAATTGTTTCATCTTCTTATCTTCCCATTCTTTTTGTTGGAAGGATCATTCATGAGCCATCCCAACGTAGCATTCCTACGACCCACCATCACAACGACAAGGTTCTCTCTCTCTCTCTCTCTCTCTCTCTCTCTCTCTTATAAGACAGCACAACAATGTTTATGGAAGAATTTTGACTAAAACATGCTGTTGTCGTTGAAATCACCCATATGTTTCGATCAATGATGTTGACATCTCACTTAATTATCTTACTTGTGAATACGAGAAGATCTTTTCTTTACCTTATGCTGCCTTACCGACAGCAAATATTCTACCTCCTTGAGAGCTTCACTACTTAGTGTGCGCATGGCCCTCGTGGCTCTTTATATAGTCTTCCTTTTCCAGGATTGCATGCATGAACAATCAATCATGCAAGCTTTTGAGAGATGAAATGGAATTTTAGTACAACCTTCCATAATATATTATGTATTGGGAATTCTTTGGAACCCTATTTGTTTATTTTTATTAGTCACTTGTGAGAGGTTACTATAAAATATTTTAAATTACCTTCATGATAAATAAAAATCATATATTAAATATTTATATGAATTATAATAAATTAAAATTTCTTATTGTCTCTTACTATCCATCCATCAGGTATAGGCAACCTTGAAGTCCCATAAAACATGAATTAGATAGAAGACATCAATTTATTTGAGTGTATCTCATTCAAGAAGTTGCAATATTTCATTGTATAATTAATTTATGAATTGTTTTTGCTATAGTATGATTTAGAACACTAATTAATTTTCTTTTTAGCAACATAAGTTTTATCTCTATGAAGTATATGTTTTGGGATGTGATGTGATATGAACGCAACCAAATTTGTGCAAACTGGTGAGGATAGAGAGAGGAACGCAATAGGTGTGGAACCGAGTGATTGCTACTTTGATGGAGAGCGGGTAAAGTGGCGGGCAAAACTTGGGAAGATGCATTGTAGTGAGAGGTCACACACTGATTGATATCACCCTGCTTTGGCCTGCCCGTGAGCATCTCTCTCTCTCTCTCTCTCTCTCTCTCTCTCTCTCTCTCTAGCTCTAATCAATCTCTGACAAGAAGACAAATCCCACATCTCATATACAGCCAGACTCCATAGCCGTCCTCCTCACATGTCATCAACATCAGAAGCTCACCCCTCTCTCTGTGGATAAAGTCCTTCCAGCCTCGATAGGAGGTGACCATCTTCCCAACCTCCACACATGTAGTCGACTGTACTTCTACTGCTCCCGAAGTGAACAGAGGTCTTGTACTTGTGAGTCAGGAATTTCTTGGGTTCGCTCACGCAAACCCTACTGCAAACTGGAGCATTGGGATTATCACATCAACCTGTTCGATCTCCCTTTCCATCCTCCATATTAACGGCAACAAGTAGAGATCCCAAAGCACACACAACCCTCTATATATGCCCTGCACAAACACCAAATCCACTTCTCTACTGCTATTCTGTACTGGTTTGCCTCCCCTTCTCTCTCTCTCTCTCTCTTTCAACATATGATGCAATTCACTACAAGTGTACCACTGCTGCCTCCTATCGGTCCCGATGGGTTAAGCCTGTTGTTGGAAGAGGACGACGCGCCGAAGCCCTCCTTAGGTGGTTCGTGGCCGTGGCGTGGCCGCCTTCTGGCCTCCCCCAAGACCCTCGGCAGCTTCAACACCGCCAGCTGCATGGAGCAGCTGCTCATCCATTTCGCCAACGCCATCGAGAGCAACGACGCCACCCTCGCCCAGCAGATCTTGTGGGTTCTCAACAACATCGCTCCTCCGGACGGCGACTGCAACCAGCGCCTGACGTCCGCTTTCCTCCGCGCCCTTGTCGCCCGAGCCTCGAGGACCGGCTCCTGCAAGATTCTCACGGCTGTGGCGGCACGTGCCGACGCCGAACTCGCCCTCCACCTCCATCGCTTCTCGGCCATCGACCTTGCCAACTTCATCGATCTAACTCCCTGGCACCGCTTCGGCTACGCTGCTGCGAACGCTGCCATCGCAGAGGCGGTCGAGGGGCTGCCCCTGGTCCATATCGTCGATCTCAGCACCACCCACTGCATGCAGATGCCGACCCTCATCGACCTGCTAGCCAATCGTCCCGAAGGCCCGCCGTTCATAAGGCTCACCGTTTCAGGCCTCACGACGACTGCGGCGCCGCCGATTCTGAACATGACGTACGATGAATTGGGGTCGCGGCTGGTCAATTTCGCGCGTTCTAGGAACGTAGCTATGGAGTTCGTAGTGATCCCTACTGATCCCAGCGATGCGTTCGTTTCACTGATCGAACAACTAAGGGTTCAACAGTTAGTCTCCGAAGGCGAAGCCCTGATCGTGAACTGTCAGATGCTGCTGCACTACATACCAGAGGAGACGGTCGGAGTGATCGCCTCCACCACGAACGTAAGTCCACCAATGCTCTCCCTCCGGACATTGTTCCTCAAGGCTCTACGAAGCCTGGGGCCTACACTGGTGACGGTGGTGGACGAGGACGCCGACTTCACGGCGTGCGACGTGGTCAGGAGGCTGCGGTCGGCGTTCAACTACCTGTGGATCCCGTATGACGCGGTGGACACGTTTCTACCCAAGGGGAGCGAGCAGCGGCGGTGGTACGAGGCCGGGGTGGGGTGGAAGATCGAGAACGTGATCGCGGAAGAGGGTGTGCAGAGAGTGGAGCGGTTGGAGCGGAAGGGGAGGTGGGCGCAGAGGATGAGGGCCACGGGGTTCCGGTCGGTGCGGTTCACGGAGGAGGCGGCGGGGGAAGTGAAGAGCATGCTGGACGAGCACGCGGCTGGGTGGGGGATGAAGAGGGATGAGGAGGACTTGATGCTCACTTGGAAAGGGCACAACGTGGTGTTCGCCACGGCTTGGCTGCCTGCTTGAAAGCAACAGTACTATTGCATTGCAAATTAGACTGCCTCTGTAAGTGCTATTTGGTGCTGATTCATTGCTTAGATTACCATGTTACTGACCATCGATTCACATCTCTCTCTCTCTCTCTCTCTCTGACTTGCAGTAATGTTAACACGAAGGGCATCATGCAAGTCCCTTAATCATGCAGTAGTATTCATTGCTTAGATTAGCATTTTAGTATCAATTCTCAACTCTCTCTCTCTCTCTCTCTGACTTGCAGTAATATTACATGAAGGGCTTCATGCAAGTCCCTTAAACATGCAGCAATATTCATTGCTAGTATTGATTCTCAACTCTCTCTCTCTCTCTCTCTCTCTCTCTCTCTCTCTCTCTCTCTCTCTCTCTGTGACTTGCAGTAATATTAACATGAAGGGCAACATGCAAGTTTGTGTTATAGTACCATATGAAAGGTTTTATGTAGATTTATTTGTTTGATGTTAGTTAATTTCAGCTAAATATTCGTTAATTTGATTCTTAGTAGTGAGTAACCCCCTTTATTTAATATGGTTATTTTGTCTAATTAATACCAATGGAATTTATGCGTAGGAAATAATACTTAACATTATAATTAGACACAATCACTGTGCAAGTTCCATAAAAATGTTAGCTAAATTTCAATTCTATCAAAATGAGTGTAAATAATATATAATTAAGTTTTTTTCTTTTGTGTCTAATATCAAAAGAAGACTTTTGTTTGGTATCGACTATATGTATCTTTTTTTCTAACATTAAACTCTATAATATTTTAAAATATTTTTAGGTCTCCTTTTACCTCTCTCTTCCTACACCAATAGTTGTCTAAGAATATGTATTGCTTTTCTCTAAATAAATCCATATTATTTAATCTTTCATCATAGTCATATTGTCTACAAACAAAAAAAAAATCCTTTGCCATATATAGATACAAAAATAAATTTTGTATCTATATAACTTAAATAAAATCAACTTAATTCTATTTGGTGTATGTGGTTAGCATAGTATTTGGTGTTTTATTTTTCATACTATCTTAAAAAAAAAGTATAGTTTAGAAATGAGATTAATAATGAATGATACCATAAGAATCAAATCTCTCGATATGAGTTGTCGTTAGATTTAAATTCAAGTTCTAGTACACTAGATTGGATATTAATACGATTCAAAAGATTGAGTCATTTCATTGTGACCCGAACATATTATATATCGTCTGATTTTTTTTTAATTTTAACAACATAAAATTATTATTTTAGTACATATCACATTTTGATTGTCTTTCTCATAATATGTTCAAAACCCGTTCCCATGTTTTTGATACTATGTTTTCCTTCTCGAGTGCAAGCCATTGGAATTACATGTCTCCAAAAGTTCTGATAGATGATCCATTTAGATCCGAAATGACCATTTATGCCTTTAGGATTATAAGCTCAGCAACATTATTGTGATGATTTGGTTAGTCAAATATACAATTTCCAGAGATGTCTACAAATGTGAGTGACCACTCAATTGTCTTTACGGACTTGTCCAAGAACTCTTCGAGGCTTTTTCTTGTGGTGCAAAGACAGTCATGTTGTAGTTTCATTTTTTCGATTTAGTAGTTTCTACCTCATGGTTACTATGGTTCTTTGCCTTTCATAAAAAAAATTATGATGCTTACATCTTTATAATGTAATCAAATCTCCTTTACTTAGCCTCAAAAAGTTATGAAATATCTAACATGATGTACATTAGGTCTAACCCCGATAATAGATTGACCTATAAACTCTTTATTGAGTGAACTATCGCCTAATCTCATTTCACTTAACGTCGAGTCGAGGATCTAACATACTTCGAAATGATGCTAACCCAATAGTGGATTAACCTATTAAGTTTGTCAAGTCTAAATTATTGATTCAAGATACTCAAATCTAAATTAGCGATAATAGACCCATCTAATGCTTGTAAATTTATCCAAAATTTTCATTACATTTTATGTGGGATTAAATTAGAGTGTTGTGGTAAGAATTTAAAGCGCTGTTAAATCTCATTTCAGAAAGATGGCAAAGAAGGACAAGGTTCAATGAGGTTTAACAAAGACCTTAAGTCTTTAGATGATTCAACAGCCAACACGTAGGGCAGATGGAAGGGTATCATCTTCATCACTCCATGTCTTTAGGTATAGCTCATCGTTAATAAAAGACCCACGAGGACACATGCTTCACCATAGTTTATGATGAGTCCATCACCACAGGGGGAACGGAACACAAAAGATTTGTGGTGTTTAGATTCTCATGTACTCTAAAACTTTCCTCACTCGTGCACGATCTTTTAAGACATTGACAATTTGATTGGCTCTTGTTTTTTCTTCCTTGTAATATAAACTTCTTTCATATTCATGGAGTGGGATTATATCTATACTTAAAGCCTTTAATCGTAAGCTCAATGATAAAAAGTCAAATATCATAGGTAGATCATGAAGAATTATAATCCTTTTAAACGTATGAAATTAATGAAATTGAAGGGATCATATAGCTTAGCAAGTAAAGATATGAACGGTTTATCATAAGGTTTTAGACTCGAATCTTACCTTCATCACTTATCCTTTGTAAAAAATAATAATAATAAGATTATGACTAAATCCTATTTATCTCATATATTATACGTTTATACATACATATATACACATACACATTAAGATTAAGTCTATAATCAATATTTTATATGTTTATTAGTCTACAGCCTGCAATCTATGTCTATTTCTTTATGACATGAGAGATTAATATATGGATCCTATAAATAGTCTCTCTAAATATAGAGGTATCGAGGTAAGATTACGTGTATATCGATTCTCTCTATATCGCCTGTTGGCGAGAGAGTCTTAGCATATTTGTCATGGGTAATGTCACAACTCAGCGACAGCTCTCAAACTGGACTCTTTCCAGCTTCTCAAGAGTCACTACTATCTACCATATGCTGCCTGATGTATATGGCAAAGGCCAAAATGTATATGTTTTGAGACAAAAGGAATGGCTTCTGATCTCCATATAAGCTTAACATGTTTGTTTATTAGAGCTTCCTTTCATGCATTGAAGTTTTAGTTTTGTGTAAAAGAAGGATGATTGTTAACTTCTTTCTTAGCTGATGATACATATATAAACTAATTTAGTTCTTTCATTACAGACTAAAAGAAAGATCATTAGGCCTTTGTTCCTAACCAAATCTGCATTTAAGATTGGAGGTGTACATGGAAACATGCATTTATTAAAGATTTGTTTAGTGTTAAACTGGCCAATCAAAGAGAGTTTGTGTTTAAAGAGTAAGAATAAGAGGCACTGAGATCCCTGACACAGCTGTATCTTCATGACTTCCAAAGGCCATGGTGCATTTCTTTCTCTCCCTACCAACAAATATAATACTTCATCTAGCAGTCGGACAGCAACACTCATGTGCTAGTAGATATCTTGCAAAGGGTCAGGCAAATCTTTCAGAAGATCACAGCTGAGTTAATGGCCACTTAGATAGAGTTTCTCATGTGCTTGTTGATGTTTGGATAATGTAAATTAAATCCATCCTGAAATGGTTAATGTTTGTTCTTGATGGTCCCAATATACTGCCTTACAATACAGAAATGGTAGAGTAGTTTAAGGCATGATAGGCCCACTTCATTTCTCACATCTGTCTATGTCCAAAAGACATGGAATGTTATTTGTGAATGTGATTCTTCTGAGTTCATGAGGCAGTATATAAAAAATTCATTGAGAGGTTGAAGGCCATGAGAGGAAACAGTAATTAGGTGTGCATCCTCCTTGCAGGACAGAGATCATTATCTTTGATACTGTGTCCCTCCCCTACAACTCTGGAGAGGTCTCACAACAACATGCCAACCTCTTCTCCATTTCTAAAATCACATTACCCACATCCTGTTCATTGCCAGATAATAGTTTTCTCACACTTCCAATCAATGATTTCCTAATCTAAACCTCAGTTAATCATCAGCTCATGGTCATTCAATCATTCTCCAGCAGATTGCATCTTAGCAAAGTCATAGATAACAACACATCATGTTCTTTTTGTCACAATGGATCCTGACTCCTTTCTTTTTTATGCATCATTGCATCCATCTTAGCTGTATCATCGATCGCCCGTGATCAGCTCTCAGCTCTCTTGAATAAAAATTAATTCATATATGATGATTAGAGATTGAAGCCTTTAATTCTTATACATCCAACCATATAAATACTCACTGAACTTTGTAATGTTCAGACAAGCTATTTCATCATCCAAACAAGCTTGCTTCCTGCTACCTCCACCCCCAAGTCTTCACACAAATGGAGCCTCAAGGACTGGCATTGGAGGCAAGCTGGAAGTCCTTTGATCCATTAATGTCAGTGGAGGAGTCTGAAGTCATGACACAGCTATTTTGTTCTATGCAAGATCAAGATCCAAGCACTGGGATCCAACACTTGCTTTGTTTTGATCATAATGCTAATACTTTCCACTGTTCTGATGATTCTGGCTGCAATCCGTACTATTGGAATCAAGGCATTTGCACGCCTGCTGCTGATGAAGGCTACTACTTGCTCGAGCAAATCGCCACCCCATCCTTTCCAGTTGAAGTCAGCAGTGATGAAGCTGTTGAATCTATTCCGAAACCTCATCTTCCTGATCCTCATGCCTCGCAAGCCATCAAGAGAGGGTTGCATGTTGGTGACCATGAAGTGCCCGCAATGGTAGAAGAGGATGACAACCATGTGGGAAGTCTCAGGAAGAAGGCCCGAGCCATGGCACCTGTGAGTACATACACATACACCTCTGCTTGATCTACAGCATTCGCTTGTTCTGACGGACATGATCGGTTTTAGGTGACCTCCAAGAAGGTTCATAGAAGCGGTCGGTATGCTGACGAGGAAGAGAGGAATGGTGACATGAATCTTCACGGCTCCTGTTGCTACAGCTCGGAGGATGACTCAAATGGGTCTCAGGAGCTCAAGGGAGCAGGCGCCACGAGCTGCAGCTCGAAAGGGTCTGCGGTCATGAATCCAAACGAGAGGAAGACAAGAGCTGGTCGAGGGTCAGCAACCGATCCACAGAGCCTCTATGCGAGGGTAGAAACCTGATTCAGAGTAACCATTGTTTTCGATATGTTGCCTTCGGGTTCTGAAACTGTTGTGATTCAATATGCTCTGCAGAAGAGGAGGCAAAGGATCAATGAGAGGCTGAGGATTTTGCAGAGTTTGATTCCAAATGGAACGAAAGTAAGCGTCTCATATTGTCTTGTCGAT